AAATAAATAAATAAATAAACATTTTCTGCTAATGTCTCAAAACATTAAATTCTCTTATCACCTCATTCAACACTGGTGGCAATGAGTGACTGGCATTTTTAAAGACCAAAAAAAAAAAGCCTTTAAATTGGCTATCTTTTGTCAAGCTCTTAAATATGAACATGAAGCAATTTACATAGACACTCCCTATGCCTGATAAAACTGGGTCTTCTAAGTCACGAACCACACAGTTCAATCCCTTGCTGAACTAGGTCTACCACTTAGCAGAGCCTGAACCCTATCTCCTATAAAAGACTTAGCAGGAACTAAGAGACTTTAAAAATTATTTTCCCTGGATATGTAAAGTAAAATGTCAAAAACAACAACAAAAAACCATCTATAGGGGAATGAAACTTAGAAAATGAACGAACAATGAAGTTTTGGGCGAAGCATGATGAAGATGGGGGGAGGGGCAGCCTTGGCTACATCTATAGAGACATCGTTTCAGTAGTGAGGAGAAAACGGAGAACCCTTCAGGAAGCAGCAATCACACAGCGCTATCAGAAGGCATCGAGAATTTTTCCACGCCGTGAGTGCAAGTCGACTCCAAAAGAGCCTTCTCATGTCTCTCAAAGCACCGACGGGAGAGAAAAACTCTCAACAGCGGCGAAAGCAAGGCAGGAAATTTATGATTGACCCCGGAAATGTTTTATTTTGCGTAGGTATACGGAGAATTTCCTTTCGCGATTCGTTGCTTGATCCGGAAGAAGAGATAGCCAAACTCCCTTGCGATTGGGTGGTGTCATCAAGGCGGGGCTTTAGCGAGCCATTCACATTGGCTCCCGGATGTGACGATACGGAAGTCGCTGGCTGAGCTTCGCTCGGGCTGTCGGCTTCGGTGGGTGGGGTCGCCGATTCCTTTAGTCTCACCGCAGACTCGGCCCTGCTGGGGGTGGTGCCATTGAGAGCCACGCCTCCCACGCCGACCTTGGTGGCTCTGGCGCGGTGTCGTAGGCCCTGGGGGCGGAGACTCGGGCAGATTCTTGGGAGCTCGGAGCGTAGCGCTCGGCGTCCCCCTCTTCGCGTCTTCCGGTTTCAGGGCTCTGAGCCGCCTCCCTCTTACGCCCGAGGTGCCGCCCCATCGGGAGCCGCCCTCCCCGTCCTATCAGCTCCGAGCCCCTCAGACTTGCCCCGGTCAACTCCAGCCCAGCCTTTTCTCTCGCTCTTGCCCCTTTTGGGGCACCTCGGCCCCACATTGCCCACTTCCCTGGATGTGCTGGCCCCTTCCGCTCCTTTAAAATGTCTAATAACCTGCCGAGGGTCTTGTTGAAACCCGCAAAGGAAAAGTCGGGCGACGCTTCCCATTGGTAAGTACCGGTTTCGAGCCTCCCTCGCCAGCCGTCCTGCCGTCTCTCAGCAGGTTGCGGAGTGGGCCGGCTTTCCGGACGCGCTGCCTCTCAGACGAGTTGACGCGGCGGGGTGTGCCGCCCGGGGCGGCGCCGGCCCGGGGCGCTTAGAACGCGCTCCTCTGAGAAAAATAAAAAATCCTCGCAGCCTCACGCTGTCAGCTGCTACCCAGACTCCGCGGGACTCCCGCGTCTCCAGTTTCTTAGGCTTGCAGAGTAGATCTACACGGGCGAGGAAAAGCAACATGGCCGACGCTCCTGTGTGCCCAAAACCTTCTGGAAGATTCTCGCGCACTCGCAGAAAAACACGCAGAGATCAGCGCGGATTGGCAGGCGCGGCCCAGGTGGCGCTGGACCTCCAGTGAAAACGTAGCCGCGACTTGAGAGTTAGTGACCAGGAGAGGACGCGTGTGGTGTGTCATGAGTGCGGATGAGAATTTAGGAACAGGAATGGTTGCAGAACAAAGGGGCTGGTTTTTTTTTTTTTTTTTTTAAATTTCGAATACGAGAGAAGCAAAATTAGGGACACTGTAAAAGCCCTTGGAAGAGCAGGTTGGAAGGGGCTGTGATGGGCGCCCCTGCTGGTGACAGTGCAGGCTGACAGACGATTGTGACGTGCAGACGCCGGCGTTTCCTAGCGAGGCTGGCTGACTTGTCAATTTGGAAAACAGTTTATACTAAGTTCTTTTTTGTTTATTTGTTTTTTTAATCTGACGTCCTCCATCATGATAAGGAACGGGAACAAAGCAGTTGGCGGGACGGGATGTCCTAAGTTGTGCTGTGCACGGTCACAGCATGTGTCGTAGGGGTGAGAACAAGGGGTAGTGGGGTTTCGCAGGAAGTAAATGTGCAGATGAGATCGTGCAGGTTGAAGTGTAAAATGCAGGGAAGAACATTCACGATTTTAGAAAGCCAAAGCGCTGCGGGCTAAGTCGAGCTGTGCCGAAGTAGTGTTTGTGAGACCCAGCGCCTCCTTCCAGCTGGTCAGTAAGAGCCCAGACGCACTGCAGGATGATCAGGGCCGTGCGTTGCTCAGTTCCCTGCTCAGTTCCCGAAGGATAGAGGCGCCGTGCTGCAATGTTAGTTATTTCTGTAAAAATTACCCCCAGCACGTGGACTTGCGTTGGTTACCAGTGGGGACCAAGCCTAATTGTAATAAAGACATTTCTAAGAGGTGAACACGTTATTTGGAAGTAAAAGCAGTGAACGAAAGCAGTACTGAAGAGTTGCCAAGAACTGTGGTATTGCAAATTATAAGGAGCCAGCTTTTGGTCTCTTTGTTGTTGTTTTTAGTGGAAATTGGGGGAACAGAGTGACCTTACAGATGTGCAAAAGTTGAATTACTTTAAAACGACTGTTCATTTCTTCTACCTTATTTTAGTGTCTTGATATTTAATATATTGTTTCACTTACTGTAACATACAGAGTTTATTTTAGGATTGCATTCTTTTTCAATATCGGAAATAAGAAATTGACTTTTTAATTGTGTATTTTAATTTACATCAAGTTTCTAATCCCTTTGACTATATAGTTAAAAATTACACATTGAATCATGTTTTGGTTACTCTGATAAGTCATTTTGGTTTCTTGTCACATTGGTTTCGCATTGTTTTTCATCAGTTTTGGAATGTGTCTTTCACATGACTGAAGCTTTACATCACATAATTGAGGTGGATGCCTCACGGAACCCAACTGACACTTATTTCGTGATTGGTTACATATTTGTTTCTGTTATTTTGTAAGTAACATCTACATGATGTCCCACATAATTTTGTAAATAATTATTAGTTTATTTGGAAGCTTAGCTTTCTTATTTTCTGATACTATTTTTGATGGTACTAAATCATTAATTTCCTTCATAAAATTAAAATGACTGCACAGTTGTCTCATTTTCTGTAGATACTTGAATTTTTTCTTCAGTTAACTGCTATCCCGCTGTAGAAATTTTCAGTAATTTGATACAGAATGTTTATTATTAAAAAAACGTTTATCGAATTCATCAGGGCATGAAATGTAAAACCCAAATTTAACTATGTAATATGAAGGAACGACTGGGGAGATATTCATGGTGATAGTATTGTCTTTAGAGTTGGGCTTTATTAGCGAAGAGCATAGTAGGAGTCAGAATGGTAAAGTGAATAAAGAGTAAACTATCAAGTATGGAGACTGGATTCATATCCTAGTGCACCACTTCTTACCAGTGTAATGTAGAAATTTGATTAAAAAGCGCTCACTAGTACCTGCTGTGTTATGGACTATGCTAAATGGAGAGGCTGACTAAAAATAGGATATGAACCATCTTCTTGAAAAACTTCATTGTCTATATGGAGGTGATCATGTAATAAATTTTTTAATACCATTATGGTCAAGATGCTGTACATCTTACTCAGAGAATTCCAGGGAACGTTTCTGGCACTTAGGAAGTATCAGCTGTTCAGTTTAAGATGAATTCAGGATGTACCTAGGCAGAGGAAATAGGGTAATAGATTTAAAGTATCAGTATGACTTCTTACTAGCAATAAGTATTTACTTACTGGAAGGAGGATACGTGACTCTTTAAGGGTTTGATTGAACTGCTGAAGAGATTACCACTCATTCACTGGAGATCGTGCAAAGGGTTTTAAGACAAGGACTCTTATCTTGAGATGTGCAAAAAGCTGCTGACTGTGGCTTTTGGAGAAGTGGCCTCAGGCATATGAGGATTCTATTTCAGTTCTCCTTTCAGTGATTCTTGAGACCTGAACTAGCTGATGTAGAAAAGAGGCTGGATTCAAGAACTCAAGGAGGGAAAATTGGGCAGACCTTGAAATGAATTGGCAAAAAAAAAAAAAAAAAAATCAATTAAATTAACTCAGATGAGGAGGTCACCAAAAAGAAAAAACACAATCAGAGCTTCATTAAGGGTCAGACCTGAAAATAAGAGTCTTGTGAGTCATCAGTTTAGAGGTAGTATAAGAGCCTGTGATAATGTGTCCTATAGTAATAGGAATTAGGATGCCACATGATTGGCAGTTGGCCTCTGTCTGCTCTTACCTCTGTTCTCAAATGGGGAGCTAAAAATGACTGTCCAGGAGGCTTGATTTGGTTAAAAAGGGTAGTGTTTCTCTGTCAGTTCAGTGCACATTTAATTTTGTACAGTGTGTTATTATCTTTGTGTGTGTGTGTGTCATCTGAAAATAGCTAACTGAAATCTCTTAAGCCTCTCATTTTAAGCAAATGAGGTTTTTGGACTATAAAATTGGGGTTATGCTAAGTAAATACCACAAAGTGGATAGGATTGTTGGAAAACATGTAATTCGTATTAATCATTTAACATTTCTAAACTGCCATTTTTTTCTATGTAATCACTGGGCTGTTTATTAGAACTATAGCTAATGACAAGTATAATAACATTTTGTAAGTGATATTATTTGTTATATATTATTATATTATGCATTTTTGTACATTATGTGTGTAAGGGGAAAAGATTTCTAGCAATTGAAAAAAATTGTAAATACATCTTTCTACACTTCTACAAAATGTTCAGTAGTCTGAAAAATGTCATTCCATTTCAAATGTGAATGCTTCATACCAATATTAGAATAGTCAAAAAATGTAATGTTTTAAGATACCTTTCATTTAATTCTCATACTTTTTACTAAAATTCTCATATTTTCAAAATACTTTGCCTGATTTATTTACTTATTTTTGGATACAAATTGCATGTTTAAATAAAGCTAACTAGCATCTATATACTGAAATTTACCATAATCTCAGCTAGTTACTCATTTACTTCTCATAGTAAGCCTTATTCATATTTTACAAATGACGAAATGGAGATTCAAAGAGGTCAAGTAATCCCTTCAGTGTAATTCTCTTCTAGATATGAAAAAATGTATATTGAGTAAAGTATGACTTTCACCCTGATTTATTATGTCTGTCTTTGCCATTCTGTATTTTAGTTTTATTTTTAGAATTCAGTAGCATTTTGATGTTGGGAAATTGTGGGGCTTGTTTTTTTTTCCTTATAGTACATAGGAGTCAGGTCAGCTAACATTGCTGTCAACAGTGTGCCATTTGCCCTTTTAGGATAAAGGGCATAGATACGACTAGAACAACTTACTTTAAGGAATGTATGATCTCTGGTGGATTATGCAAACCTCATTTGATATGCTGACTTGGAAGAAACTGTTTTTTCCTTCTTTTTTTGGAGGGGAAATGATGGAGAAGAGGGGAGGGAAAGCAGTTAGATTTGAAAATGGCTTGTGTGATATTTTTGAGTGTCTTTTGTGAAGCAGAAGTAATTAATAGAGGCCATATAGTAAAGTAAGTAGGTGACTAAAAGTATCATCAGCCTGTGTGATCTGTTTAAATACCATGACTATTAAAACACATGTGCTCCATGTAAATAATTATAAAACCATGGATTCTGCTTGTGAAGCTTTAATCTGATAAATGTTACTGACAAATCAAATAAATAAATAAGTAAAACAAATGAGACAAAATGGGGACTTGAAAAGCTACATTATTTTTAATGGAATTTTTTTTTTGAGGGCCTATTGATCTTGGTATTGGAAAACCTGTTATAAAATAAATGATGTCTGAATAAAAACTTTCACTCCCACTAAGGAAAATTATATCTTATTTTTTAAAATTAGCTAATAGATGAAATACAATATGACTATATACATTTGAGTTGGAAGAAATCAGTGTGATTTTGTCTGACTAGATTGAATCTGAACCTCATCCAACTATGTTTTATGTTGAAGGAAAAAGTAACTTGAAACCTATTTAGAGTAAATAAATACATGAGCTATTCCAGAATAGCAAAAAGATCTCTCTGGTAACATGGGAGAGTTTATATTAAAAAATCATAGGTGGTGATATTACAGAGATTAGATGGTACCAGTTTCTAGATGATTTTCATGTCAGGTTGAATTGACAGCAATGAATTATTCAAGCTTCGGGCACTGGGGGTAACAGGATGAAAGCAATGCTTTATTATGTCGGAGTTATGTGATAATAGTGTCTGTGTTCAGAAAAACTAGTTTAAATGTCAGTAAAATACTGGGATGATACACATCTGATCTAGGTGGTTGGCGTGGCAGTGGTGAAGGAAGAAAAGATGAGTAAGTAGAAAGGAAGAAATTATAAACTTGGTGGATCATTGATTATATATTTATTAAATGTTTGCTCCTTGTAAGCATCTATAAAAAGTGGTGTGTATGAATCAGATGAGTAAGAGGGGCAATGAAAATAAATCAAAGGTAATGCTAGGTGACTTATAACCTGTGTCACTTTGAAAATAATTTTGCCACATGATTGGATGGTATGATAGAGTACTTGTTTTCAGTAGAGTAATTTTAAATAGTATTAAAGATGAAATGTTTGGTAACACATAATATGGAAATGAGGGCTGTTCTAGGGCATTAGAATAAAGGGCTCTAGTTATGATGGTCATTGCAGAGGAGATAGTGGAAGTCATGAAGATTGGTGCGGAGTAAATGAATGATAAACAGTTAAGAACCACACTTTGAGAATGCTTTGTTGAATGTTTAAAATGCAGAAAGTGAGTAAGAAAGACAAAAGGAACAAGTTGTACATGATGGGAATAATGACATGAAAAGTTTCAAGATGGTGGGACAGTTAGCACTGTCAATTTCAGTAGAACACCTAGGGAACAAGGATAGTATAAAAACAAATTTAGTAGTGAGGACACATTTGGTAATCTTTGAACAAGAAGTGTAGTAGAATATAATGAGAAATATACTGCTGAAAAGAAGTGGCTTTGACACAATTTTTTTGGCATGTAAGTGAAACTGGTTGATGGTGTTAATTGTGGTTCACTAACGCCATCTACCAACCTTCTGTCACTGAACTGACAACTAGATCAAAATCTTTAATCTTACATGATTACATCATCTGTATGGACACCAGCTTTATCACCTGGTCTTGCAGTGATTTTTATTTTATACATAGTCATCTACTTCTGTAATGCTAGTTATCAGATGAGATTTCTTCTACAAAATTTATGATAAGCATCCTGTTTTCTAAACACCTGTTCCTGTATTTCTGGCATACTTGCTTAAGCATTTCCATTCTGACTATCCAGTCCTCCAGTTCAATAATCTTTTTGGTTTTCTCCCTAGACTGTAGCCTTTATGTTCTGATTTCCTCCCCATACATTGGAAATTATGTTTCATCAGTTTAATAATTTTTATCAATATCCTCAAGCTTTTGTTCCTCTGATTTTATTTGCACCCTTTTGCCGAAGCTATCCTAAGAGAATTCAGTGATTTATTTTCTTTCTGCCTATACCTGGTGAGCAAGGAAAATCTCAAAATACTAGAGATTGATATCATTATACATTCATAATCATTATCTTCCTCAGCCATCAAAACTGCTTTTTGAGTTTTAGTATTTTTTACTTTTAGCTCATTTTCCACACAAATTGTTCAAATCTCTTTTTTGTTACTCCCTTAGAAGATGAGTTTCATGCTCTTTTTCAAAGAGAAAATAAAAGCTGCTCTTAGGATTAAGTCAGAAATATTTCATTCTGATATAAAGTTATAAACATGCCTGCAGATGCACCTACTCTCCTACTTCTGGTAGAAGATGAATTTATCTAGCTATCTTTAAAGTTCAACCCCTCTACTTGTCTTCTGGTTTCTATTTCCTAGCTCCTTCTCAAACATACTATTCACTATTCCTTTCCTTTACTACCAGTTTCTTTCACTCGATGGCTTACCATGAGCACTAACATGCTCTGGTTCATCTTTAAAAAGAAAGATCTCATTTTGGATCCCTTTTCTCACCAACTACTTGCAGTCTATTCTTTTAAGTCAAAGTTCATTAAAAAAAGATGTCTGTACTTTCTATCATCATATCCTTTTTTCATATTCATTTTTTAGCAACTCCTTCACTACCAAAAAGCTTTTACTAAACCATTAATGACCCCATATGCCATTAATTTCACTGTACATTTTAAATTTACATCCAACTTACCTCTTAATTAATAGAATCTTCCAGTTTTCTTGAGATTCTCTCTTTAGTTTCTGTGTATCAAAGTCTCCTGGTTTTCTTTACCACTCTAAGAATAATCAGAAGGTGCTGAAGCGTTTTAACCAGCTCACTGACTGAATTGAAAGAGAGAGGATTTATTGAAGAAAAGAAGGCCAGTTATAAAGTTTATCTAAGCCAGAATGACACTGGCTTCACTAGGTTAGACCGGTAACCATTAATTTGGAAAGAATAGGGTTCAGGGAAATTTAGGAGATAATATCAACAGAATTTTGTGATAGATTGAATATAAAGGGTGAGGAAGTAGGAATTACTTACTCTGACAAGCATCTGTGATCAATGGAATGAAATGCCATTTATTAAAAAAATAAACTGGAGAAGGAATTTGAGGGTAAGTGAGCAGAGATTTTCTGGTCATGTTGAATGAGTTGGTAAATTTGGATAGAAATGCAAAGTGGAAATTTGGATACATAAGCCTGAATCTCAAAAGAACTAAGATTTTTTCTGTTTTCAAGCAAGAATGTGTCATGACTTCTTGACAACCCAATATGTTTGAATGTTGATATGTAAATGGTAACTTAATTGAAGTCTTAGATAGGAATCATCTAGGGAAAGAGTACAGACTAGAAAGAAGAATTGAAACTAAACTGATGAATTCCAACATCTGAATGTAGATTCAGGTAGGATGAATTAGGGAAGAAGCTTGAGGAGTCACGCTTGAGGTAGGAGAATGTTGTATCTAGGAAACCTTGAGAAGAGAACAGTAACAGGATGAAACAGTTTTGTCTTCATCCAAAGGAGAAGATGTGGCTCAGGTTGGAAGGAACTAGGTCACAGAAGAATTAAGTATGGCCAAACTCTGCAGGCTACAGTGAGCAAAGGATCTCACTTCTGGTTACAAAGGTCATGGCATTAAATAGGGAGTCTCTTCCCCGGGCATGCAGAGCCATCTTGAACATCCTACTTAGCTCTCATTTATCTCACTTAATGAAAATTTCCTATTTATTTATCCGCATATCTATTAATTTAAGTTCTTGTATGGCTGTGGGTTGAACTAGTCTAAATATAAGCAAACACTTTCTGTACAGGGCATATACTGAATGTTTTAGGCATTGCGGGAAATATGGTCTCTTTTGCTGCCAGTCAAGCTACTCTTGTAGCATGAGAACACATATATACAACATACTAAAAATGAGTGTAACTGTGTACTAATAAAACTATGGATATGAAAATTCAAATAAAAATTTTTATATATCACAAAATACTAATGCATTTTTAAAAACAACTTAAAATCTTTTTTGCTTGTGGGCAGCACAGAAATAGGGAGGGGACCAGATTTGGCCCATATGCTGTAATTTACTGATCCTTTCCATTTTATGGAGCCTTGTTCTGAGCCATAACAAACTCAAGCAAATTGTGTTTAATGAATTCAAGTTGAAAAAGTTTGATCCAATTTATATGTGCTTTTTGGGGATTGAGGAGGTAATGAAGGTGGGTTTTCTTCCTCAAGCCCTGAAAGCAAGAATTCATACTTTTCATTACGTTTAATTTTTTTAAAGATTAATTTTTAATTTACTAAAAGTAAGTATAACATTTGAAGCATTACCAAGCGCACAGAAAAACTGTAAAACTAAGTATTTATAGGGATAGAATTACATTGTCTTGGGTTATGGTAAAACCAAGTTTCTGTGATTCCTAGATTGCATAGAATTTTTAGCATTATTAATACCTGAAGTTGTTTTTTTTTTTTAAAAAAACACCTAGGTAGTAAAACATAGCTTTACACTGTTGATAATTATAACTACTTTTTTGTCTTTTAGTTGTTTGCTTGATCTTAGCTATGTAAAGCCATACTTATTCTGTAGGACATGTATTTTGCATCATGTTAATAGATTTAGCATGAGGCATTTATAGACAGGCAACAGATTAATATACAATAGCAATTTGGATGTGTACAATGAAGGAAATTAACAGGTGTAATATAAATGACTTATGAGGGAGAGGCTGGAGGTAGACAGAGAATGTATATCTTGCAAAGTATAATTTCTGCTGAGACTTAAGTTATATAGCTGGGAGAACAGTGTTTAGGTAGAGAGAGAGCTCATGTCATGCCCCTGAGTCCTGTGAAGCTTTGGTACTTTCCATAAACTGAAAATACCAAATGCTGTCTGCAGTCAAGAAATCCACAAAGAATTAATTATAGAAATAGCAGTTGGTGTTTATTGCTGTTTCTTGAAACCAGGTACCCTGTATTAATAGTTGATAAATTTCAACTAGATAGAAAGTTAAAAATAGTGACTTCCAGTCTATTCCATGTCCATTGAAACCTGTTCAGCTGAAGTGGCAATGCTTTTACATGTCTTAGATTGACAGACAATTGAAACTAATAATGAGTAATTGCCATTCCTTGGCCTGTGCTGCACCACATTTCAAAGTTGCCGACGACAGGACAGATGGGAGAAATAAGCATAAATGTAGGCAAAATGAGAAGCCTGGTAAGAACAAAGGAGAGGTCCGTAGGAAAGAAATTCAAGGAAAAAAAGGAAGGATGCTAACAGTTTAAGGAGAGCTGATTGTAGTAGGCATGATTTTATATAGGGTTTAAAACATTAGAAAAGTCTGCTTTTAGTTTTTGGAATAAATGTTAATATCTCATGCCCATTGCCTAACCATATCTTCACTTAGCTCATCATCTTCAAAATCTGTTTCAGAGTATTTCACTTTGAGGGCTCAAAGTGAGAAGTTATATTTTAAATTTTTTATAGTTTTAAAATAATTGAAAATAATTTGTTTTTAAATAAAATGTATACCATGTAGTATGTTGGATTATTTACTCATAATGTTCTTTTAAGTGTTTCAGGCTGCATGTACCAAGTAGTTCAGACGATTGGCTCGGATGGAAAAAATCTTCTGCAATTACTTCCAATTCCTAATTCCTCTGGAAATCTTATACCACTAGTTCAATCTCCAGTCATGTCTGATGCTTTGAAAGGGAATACAGGAAACTCAGTTCAAGTTACTTTTCAGACTCAGATTTCCAGCACTTCCACAACTGCTTCAGTTCAATTGCCCATTTTTCAGCCACCCAGTTCTTCAAACTATATTCTTACAAGAAAAGTAGATACAGCAGAAAAAGTTAGAGTTACTTCTGTGGGAACTGAAAATGTTACCTCATCAGTTTCTAAAGTTCAGAGTCATAGTGTCAAAATTGATGGACTCACCATGCAAACATTTGCTGTTTCTCCCACCTCAGCACAAAATGATTCATCTTTTTTTATAGTAAATACTCAGAGTCTTCCAGTGACTGTGAAGTCTCCAGTTTTGCCTTCTGGGCATCATTTACAGATTCCAGCCCATGCTGAAGTGAAATCTGTACCAGCGTCATCATTGCCTCCTTCAGTTCAGCAAAAGATACTTGCATCTGCAACCACAAGTACCTCAGGAACAGTTGAGGCCTCCCAAATACCAACCGTTATTTACGTATCTCCTGTAAATACAGTGAAAAATGTAGTTACCAAGAACTTTCAAAACATTTACCCAAAACCTGTTACAGAAATAGCAAAGCCAGTGATACTAAGTACCACACAAATTCCAATGAATGTTGCTAAAGAGACACAATTAAAAGGAAGTCAGCACTCTCAAACTGCTCCAGTGAAATGGATTTTTCAAGAAAATCTACAGCCTTGCACTCCATCTCTTGTTCCTGTTAAGTCTTCAAATAATGTGGCTTCAAAGATTTTAAAAACTTTTGTAGATAGGAAAAGTTTGGGAGATAATACAGTAAACATGCCACCTTTGAGTACCGTCAGTCCTAATGGGACACAGACCAAAAGTATACTTATTAAAGATAATGCTTTGGTTATGTTTAATGGGAAAGTCTATCTATTGGCTAAAAAGGGGACAGATTCTTTGCCACCACAAATTAACCAAAAGACCTCTGTTTCTCCTGATACTCCACCAAGAAAAGACACATCACAGATAGTGAGTTCAAGTCCAGTCACAGAAATATCCAGAAAGGTTGTAAATATTGTTTTGGCTAAAAGTAAATCTTCCCTGATGGAGACAAACTCACTTTCAAATACCCAGCTTTCTTCCATGGCCAATCTAAGGGCAGAGAAGAATAAAAAAGTGGAGAAATCATCTCTTTCCACCCCAAACCCATATAGCATGAACCAATCCATTAACTACTTAAAACAGAGTAAGACTTTATTAACAAAGCCAGTCTTTCCAGATGGATTTAGTACAGGACAGAATGCCCCCAGAAAAGGAAATATCCAGACCATAGAGAAAATAAGTTCCTCTGTTGATGCAACAACTGTTACTTCACAACAGTGTGTTTTCAGAGACCAAGAACCAAAGGTAATTTTCCCATGTTAGGGTTCTTTTGTATCTATCTATATAGCAATTTTTTCTTTCTTAATTCTTGAAGTTAGTTATCTGTGATACTTCTTTATCCCCTGCTCTGCCATTCTCCACTCCATTACATACATACCATGTAGGCATGAATGCTTAATTGTGTCAAAGCTTTTATCTGAAGGAAATGTTTGAGGAGTAACATTGAGCCAATAGTCCAAGCAGTATCTTTCTCTGAATCATTTGGCTTGCCAAGTCTTTAAAGCAAAATCAAGCAAACAAACCACAGAGTGAAAGGTTTAGAAGAGCTGAAGTAGGATAATGTGAATACAAAGCTTAGGAAGTATATAGACATACATATATGCATATATACACATAGACACATATGTATTTAGTAACCCACTTTAAATGTATGAAGGAATTGATATGTGTATAGGAGAATTGAGGTTTTTGCTTTGTCGTGGTAGGAAGATAATCTAGTAATTTTTCTAGGTAGGTGCTGGAAGAAGTAAGGTAGGACTAGTTAGTACCTTTCAGTTGCTTGTGGAAATAGTATTAATATCTTTGAATGAGATATTTTTTTTAAGTAGACAAGTTTCCTTTTTTTAAGCCCTTATTTCTGACTCCTCATCTAGTTATCCAACATATCCACATAGTTAACCTTTCTCTTCTACTTAAGATATGTGTGTCTGTGCCTGCTAAATATTTGTACTACCTTTTCCTTATTTAAAGGTATACTTAGTAATGTCAGTATTTCTCCCCTTCAATACAGAAATATTAAACTCCAAAAATGTAAGGAGGCAAATTCTGATTAAGTATAAGGTTGATTAAAGTCATAAGACTTTCCAGAAACCTGCAGTTTCCAAATAATGTCATAGATTATTTTTAACTTGTGATTAGTCTGTATTCTCATTTCAGTTGTTTGAGAATTGACTACTTGTTACTTTTCTAGTGCAAAAAAGTAAAGGGAGAAATTGTAGGGAGTCACTTTATTTCTCTGAGTTATATTCAGTTTAAGTATGGATGATAAGACAGGTGTAATGAAAATTCAACCATTTAGGACTTCAAAGCATGATATTTTAAGTATAATAAGCTAATCATGTAGTTGCTAGTGTTATAAAAATTGCTTAAATAATTGGCAGCATTGTGTGTTTTTTTAATTCCAGATCCAGAATGAGATGGCATCAACATTAGAAAAAGTTGCTCAAGAAAGAAATGACAAGAAAAATTCTGAAGGGAGAAACGATAAGGCATTATATTTGAAGAGTGATGCTGAATTTAAAAAGATATTTGGTCTCACTAAAGATGTGAGAGTGTGCCTTACTCGGATTCCTGACCATTTGGGCTCTGGAGAAGGTTTGGAGTCCTTTAGCAAATTGATGAAGTGTGATGCTTACAAAGCAACAGAGTTTGTAGTGAAGGAGGAAGAGAGAAAACAGGTAAAAGATTTTTAAAAGTGTCCTTTGTAGGTACTCGAAGGATTCACTGTATATTAGTTTTCTTTTTTTTTTTTTAAGTTCTTCTGCGTTAATTTGAATAATTGTTACCAACTTGCATATGTATGTATTATAGTAGGCCAATTTTGAAAAGATAAATGCATTCACAGCTAATTAAAGGTATGTTTTAAGTACTACTGTTCACTGTTGCATCTCAAAATTGCAAGAAAATGGCCATAACTTTTTAATTAAGTTGTTCTACTTGAAAAATTCTCATATAAATAAACAAACCAAGCCTAGGGACAATATAAGCATGCAGATGTTCATTGTAATATTATTCAACACAAATATCTTAAATCTATATCCTCAATAATGATGAAAGAAACATCCTTATAGCTTTGCCTATTTCATTCTACTTACACATATATAGTTTTTATGTTGTTTAATGTCCTGAACTTCAAATCAGTCAACATTTCCTTATAAAAATCTCCCACATATCTAAGGAAAGAAAAAAAAATTAAGTTCTTTTCTCAGGTTCTTCAAAAGTAACTGCTATATTTTGGTGGTAGGTCAGTGTGATTTCTAATACTTGAACTGAGCAGGAAAATGAATTAAACTGTTGATTATTAGTGAATAGCATTAGGATATTGCTGTTCATTTTGTTACTAGACAGTGGTAAACAATTTACCATTCTAGTTCTTAATAAATTTTATTGAATTTAATTGCTAAATCTTCGTATTAGGAAACTTTGTTAATCTTGCGAGCACACTATACGTATATTAATAATGTTTTGGGTTTTTTTTTTTGAATTTTAATATAGCCACAGAATTTAGATAAGAAAAGAAAAGCAAAAATCTCTAAGATGTTGGTGGATCACACAAAGAGGAAAAAAACGGAGAGTGCCCGTGACACAGCAGTAAATGGGGGATCCTGCATCACCAGTTCCCAACTCGATAGCAGTGTTGTAACAACTCCGGATGTATCACACCACAACATTCTCACAAGCCGCAACAAATGCGTAGAAGAGAAGAGAACTGAGATAGAACCCTGTACCCAGGGGGAAAAAGGCACATTAAGTTCCAATGCAACTTTCGAACAAAGTCATTCCTTTAATAAAAATTATACTGAAGATTTTTTCCCTATGACACCTCCAGAGTTAGAAGAAACCATTCGAGATGAAAAAATAAGAAGACTTAAACAGGTGTTGAGAGAGAAAGAAGAAGCTCTTGAAGAAATGCGTAAAAAGATGCACCAAAAATAATGAAACGTAGCTGTGTTCGACTCCACTGAAATAGTTGTTTTTTCATGTTCTGTCATTTTAAGTTAATTCTAGATACATTCTGAAAATGTCTTTTTATATGAAACTTGCTTTTTCATTGGTTGGTTATAACACTTTATTTAAAGGATACTAAAAAGGTTGATTCATGTATGACTTGTGAATAATCTACAATAGGGTATTGGAACCTTTGTCCAGATACCTTTTTTTGGGAAGGAAAAGTTTTCTATTTTTCTATTAGCTAGAATTCCCCAAGTTTGAATATTTGTTCAGAGTTTTTGTTATTGTTTGTATTTTTAGCTAAATTGCTCAGGTGTTATTCCAACAATAGTCAGTTATTGTGTACTATAAAGGTACACAGCCCAAGGGAGGATATGAGCTCTAAACTTCATGTCGCCAATAGGCTTGTACATGTACCCACTGAGTCCCTTTGCCCATAAAGGAATACCTACTCATTATTGTAAATTTTCAAATTCCATGAAAGAAAATGTACAATAGCAACATTATTTAAATATTCACACTTCTCAGAAATGAGGGAAACTTGTTTTATAGCTTTTACCAAGTAGTTTCATATAACCCAAAATGGTTTTTAGAATTCAGGTCGTATGTATCATTTGTTTAAAGTGGTATGTTGTAATTCTTAGACAAGTGCTGCTGCTTTTTTTTTGGAACATGTACACACGTGACTTGGATTGTATGAACAGTAAATCTGAAAAAATGGCCATAGTTAATATGTGTAGCTTTTTAAAGATAGGGGTAAGCATGTGTTACATGATTTTCTTTGATTTGGAGAATTTAGGAGCAGTGTGGAAACAGGGGAGGGGTAGAAGGTTATTTAAAAAATAAAAAAGATTAACAAATCCCTGAAAGTAAGGTTACAAAAGTCCAGTGTTGGCAATAAATAGAAAACAGTAAATCAGAAAATACTGAAAAGGAAGTAGAACAAAGCCTCAGCTACATCCTTCTGCCTCTTTTTGTAGCTGCTTTAATGAAATAGTGTATTATAAAATTGACCCTTTTAAATGGTTTTTTATTCACAAATTATTCAGCTGTCAACCTGATCTAATTTTAAAATACGTTCATTGCCCCCTAAAAACTCATACCCATTAGCAGTCTTCTCCATACTCTCCTGCCTCCTACCCGAGGCAATCATTGATTCACTTTTTGTAGATGAGCCTGGTGAGGACATTTATGAGCATGGAATGAGGCTTTCAATGTTTTCTTTTGCCTGGTTTCTTTCATTTAATGTTTGATCTATGCTGTAGCATGTATTAAAACAGTTGTTTTTTAAATTGCTAAGAGTCCATTGTATGGATATACCACACCTTGTTTATCCCCTCATTTGCTTATGGACATTTGGATTGTTAAGGATATTATGTAGCTATGAATGTAGGATGTTGCTGTAGATACTATGACTGTTTAGATACATCTTTTTGTGTAGATACAATGTTTTCAGTTCCCTTGGCTATATATCTAAGGGAATAACTCTTTAACATTTTGAGGAGTTGCAGCCTACTCCAGTCAGGTTTTGTTTCCTCTGCTACACTAGCGTGAATTTTGTCAACACCACCAGTGACTTCCATGTTGCTAGATCAATTGTCAGTCTTCTTTATCAATCGGAGCATAATATTGTGGATCATTAATTCTTTTGAAAAAAAAATGTTTGAATATTTCATTATTAAAGAAGTAGTTTGTATCCATTGTAGAAAATTTTAAATACAGAAAGCTAAAATACTAAATCTTCATATTCCCATATCTAGAATTTACCCTTGTTAGCTTTTTAGTGTGTATCTTACCTCTATGTACCATATATACCTGCATATTTTTAGCAAAATATGCTCATCCTAACTATTCTGGAACATACTTTTAAAATTGTCACTCTTATTTAGAGTTTTCAAATTTAGGTATCCCCAGTTGACCTCAGAATATCTTTTACAGCTTGTTTTCCCAAGCTCTGTCAAATTGAGGACTACACATACTGTCTTTTGTAAATAAAAATTCTTTTTATTTAGCTTAGTTTTTTAAAATGACCTTGATTTATTAAGAAGCCAGTCAGTTGTCATGATTCTTCTGTCCTCGATACACTTTGTTAGAACACATTTCTACCTCGTTCTCCTCCTCCCATATGTCTTCTCTCAGTACCTCTGTACCTAAAGTCTCAGTTCCTGATTTGTTTCTTTGCTTATACTTATTTTCTTGCTGATACTCAGTTTCAAGACCTTAAAATGAGGCCATGACGAGTTGTTAAATGTGTGTTAACACCTTCTGGATTTTTATCTTTATTCCCAAACAGCTCTTTTAGATTTCAGGTTTGTGTAGCCAGTTGCCTATTTGATATTACTATTAGTTTCTAAATAAACATATCAGATTGTTGTCCCAAAATGAAATTTTGTTTTTATTTTGAAGTGACTTTACCTACGGTTTTCCCTGTTTTAGTAGATAAGAGCTCATCTAAGTTGTTCAAACCAAAAGAAACTTGTAATCATAATTGATTTTTTCTTTTACACCCACACCCAATACAAATTCTTAACTTTCAAAGTACCCCCAATCTGACCGATTTTCATATCCAATGGAATGAATTGTTGATAGCCTCATAAGCAGTCTTGAGTGTTTGTGCCAATGTTCTGTTCTTGATACGACCACCAGAGTGATGCTTTCAAAAAACGTGATTCAAAGAAAGTCTTTTAGTCCCCCTCCAATGACTCATTTCACCTGAGTAAAATCCTCTGTACAAATAAGTACAGATTTTTTTCTTTTGTCTTCCTAAATCTTACTGAACCTAGTAGACTTAATCGCCATTATCATCCCAAGTGTCACCACTTATGTTTAGATTAGAGATTAAAATTTACCTCAAAAATTTAGGTTGAACTGAAATCTGTATTAAGCAAAGTAAGAATTAAGCAAAGGGGTAGGAGTGGAAGAGTTTATAGGCAGAAGAAATAGTAAATTCAAAGGTTACTGGGCAGGAGAGAGCATGGTACATGTGAAGAACAAAAAGGACCATATAATGATGCAGAACAAGGGCATGGTGGTGAACCCTGAAAGGATAGGTTCTGTTGCTGAAGAGTATAATTTTGTTGGATATGATTGCTTCAGATTCATTTACTATCAGGGACAGGATTCACCCACTTTCTCAGTTTAATTGTCAAAAAAGCTGTTTGCATCATTCTATATTTGGTAATATCATTCATCCATTTTTTTTATTTCCTCTGTTGTCATTTCAGTCCTCCTATGCTTGTTGGGTCTCTTTTGTTATTATATACTTGGTTTTGTTTTTCTCTCCACTTTATCCAATTAGGTAGTAGCAATTGGTTTAGGTGGTATTGACCCCATTTTCAACTACAAGGGGAATCCCTCATTACCCTCTAAAACACAGGCTCCCAAACTTCCTTAGTTAAGGGTATTTCAGTGTCCAGAAATTTACTCATGACACTGCTATATGAAAAGGAAAATTCTTTATGAAGCAACTAGGTCCTGAAAACCTGATGAATTTTATGTATTAGTTTTCTATTGCTGCATAGTACATACCACAACTGGCAGCTTAAAATATCTATTAACTTATAGTTATGTGGGGCAGAAGCCCAAGTGGGCTTGGCTGGATTCTCACAAGTTGAAATCAAAGTCTTTACTGCACTAGGTTTTTATGAATGCTCTGGGCAAGAATCTGCTTTCAAGTTCATTCTGACAAGAGTCAAGTTTCTGTGGCTATAGGTTTCCATTTTCTTTCAGATGTAGGGCGGGCGGAGTGTTCGCGCTCAGGCCCTGGGGATTGTTCTTTAATCCTTTCATACATTCCTTCAGACCTGTGTTACACAACATTCTCATATTTTGAATTTGACCGCTGCCACCGGTCATGGAAAAAGTATCATATGGAGGAAGTTCTTTTTGTGACTGTGAAGTCTCTCACCTACTAGGACAGTTGGGGGTTTGGTGGAGCAAACTAGCCTGTGTCCATCACCCAGGGGTAACATCAGTAACAGGTGAGAATGGCCACTTTAACTCAACTGGTCCATCATACTTAAGTTGGCAAGAACTGTGAAAAGAAGGTGGCAAGTGAGGAAGACACTAATCAAGACCAGGAGCTCAGGCAACCAAGAGTAGAGACTAAGGGGCATCACCTTTTCAGAAGTACTGCTCCTGGGGCTGAAAGGTACAGAAGGTTACATGTACAGTAGGTTACATGTCTCTCTGGAAAGATTGCATAGCATTTGGTTTTGGAGGGAGGCATCTTGATAGAGCTGCGGATGCAGGTTAAATCTGTCTGGAATCTCCAACCATGCAAGAAGCTAACATCTGCCCAACAGGTGGTTATATCAAAACAACCTGAGGCCACAGAAACTGTCCAAACATGGATTGAGCTGGTCACCAGTGAGATCTAGAACTTCATAAACAATTTCCTCGTTGGCATGACTACTCATCCAGTGACCAAAGTGACAGAAGCAGTGACTATTGAAAAAACTTGGAGACAGTGCGCTGGAGCAGAGGGTAAATGACCCTCAGCAAATGGACTCGGATGGACTCCTCGTGCTTGCCCACTCTGATGTGCTAGAAAATGCTTTCTCCTATCAGATGATTCATAATGTGGCAATGAATTGTGCAAGGACCTAGTAGGACTGGATCCTGACTGGGACAAAGCACAGAGCCTCAGGAATGGTCTGGGTTGTGTGGCAGCCTTCATTCATTACATTCTAAAAGCAGCAGATAGGGTTCTCCTGTCCCTCCTCTCCCTGCCAACTTAGTGACACAGACACCATTACTGATTTTTGTGTGATGAAATATTTTCATCCTTTTCCCCCATCTCTTGAATCAGAGTTAAAATATTGAAGAGTAACTTCAGATCTTCTCAATAGACCTGGACTATTATAAACACTGTCTTCCTGTGCTTCCATTCCAGAAGTAAATAACCTGGGTGAACTGATAAAACAAAATTTTAATTTTCGTGTTTTACAGTAAGGTCTGTGTGACTAGATTAGACTCACTTAGATCATCTCTGGCATGTAACATAATTGCAAGAGTGGTATATTCCGGGTCTTATCTACACTGAAAGAAAAAGGATAAAGGTCATTCTGTGGGAGTTCTTAGAATTCTGCTTACCACATGCCTTAACATCTTAGTAGTTGCTGAAAGTAATATACAGAATTAAAGGAAAATATTTTTATCTCATTCTTTAGAAAACCTGTTAGAATGACATGTCTATTAGTTACTGCATAACTTAGAGTCGAACAACTTGGAATTAACTTAGACATTTTTACTTTCAGTTCTTATCCCACATTAATTGGAATGTGGTACTTGCTTTTTACCTCAGCAATTAACAAAAACTAGTTTCACAAAGATGTGACATGTAGTGAGATCCTAATGTTGAATCCATGAAGTGTTTGAGTTTGTAGTTTTCATGTTGTTCAACAGATACTGAGTATCACTCAAAAATTGAAATATCTCACTGTACCTCAGAAGTTTCTTCTGTGTTTTGGGAAAGGGCAGTCCACAGTTTGGGAACTGACAGGTCTGAACCATTTAATGTACAATAGTTCTTTTCTATCTATTGTTGTTCGAACTTAAAGGACTGAGTATTGCTCTTAAAGAAGGCTGAGGAAGGAGCTAATTTCCACAGGAATCATGAATTTAGCTTTGGACACTATAAATTAGGGATTTAAGAGATTAAATATGGTAGGGCAGGGGAAATATTGGATTTAGGAATACATGACTGAAGACTCAGTAATGGAGGGAGATAGTATAACCAAGAAGAAGATAAGCTTGTCTACTCAGTACATTTAAAGGTTGGAAAGAAGAAAATCTTAAATTTTGAGGTTTAGGAGAAGAGAATATTCATTGAACTATATTTACAAATTCTTGAATACCTGATACATAAATTCAACTAAAATCATCTTGATAATCATTTGCACCCACCTTCCATTTCACTTCGTTTTCACTTCACAGTTTGATCCTTAATTCATACTGATTTATGTGTATTGAATGAATAAGAAATCCAGTTTCATCTCTCTCCATAGAAAACGGTCCAGCCTTCTTATTGGATATTAATCATTGACCCAAGATCCTTACTGAAAAAGGCCATCTTTTCCAATTGACAAGTAATACCAAGTATGTGATATAGGAAGTGTTGATATCTGTGTATTTTATTTTCTTGTCTCCCTCTTAGATTCCATTGATATATCTGCCTCAGTGACTGTCTTAATTACAACTGCTATAATACAAAGTATGTTAGCTTTTTTCATCCTTTGTACTTTTACGTAAATTTTAGAGTTGTCTTATTACATTCATTTTTAATATTTTTATTCAGTTAATATTGGTTTACATCATTGCTTCCATTATAGAAGTACAGGATCACCCTCTTTCAGGCACTGGTGCTATAGTGTGTCCACCACCAAAAAACCCGTAGTTCATCATATAAACTTCCTTGAGCATTCTTTGGGTAGGTACTGAGGAGTGGAATTGCTGCAGCATACGGCAGCTCCATTTGTAGTCTTTTGAGAAAACTTAACTTCATACTGTTTTCCATAGATACTGGACTGGTTTACATTCCTACCAACAGTGTAGTAGGATCCTTCTTCACGTTCTCACCAGCATTGTTTTGTTTTTCACTTTTGTCTTCTAGATACGAACCATTTTTATAGATGTATAATGGTATCTCATTTTGGTTTTGATTTGCATTTCTCTGAAGAGCAGTGATGAACATTTTTTCATATGGTCATGTGTGTCTTCTTTAGAGGTGTATGAATTCTTTCTTTTTTATAACAGTTTATTTTTACATCATTTTTTGTACATTTTTTTTTCATCTCAATTGTAATCCCATGGGTTTCCCATCACCAAGTCACCCATGTGCCATCACCATAGTCCTGTGACTTCCCTTCCCACTCCCCCATTTTTATCCCATTCCCACTCCACCCCCACAAAATGTCTGATATATGGCTGTTCATTATTCTTATTATTTTTTTTGCCTGGTCCATTATACTCCTGCTATGAGTGAAACCATCCAGTATTTTTATTTCTTTTTCTGGCTTATCTTACTAAGCATGATCTTTTCCAGCTCCATCCAAGTTGCTGCAAAAGACATGTGTTTCTTTTTTTTGGTTGCTGAGTAATATTCCATTGTATATATGTACCATATCTTTTTAATCCAGTCATCTACTTTTGGGAATTTGGGTTGCTTCCATGTTTTTGGTGTATGAATTCTTTCTAAATCTTTGATATCAGTCTCATGTCAGATGTATGTTATGAAGATACATTTTTTCATTCAGTAGGGCATCTTTTGGTTGCAGTTTCTTTTGCTGTATAGAATTTTTTTTTCTTGAGGTGGTCCTTATTGCTTACATTTTCTTTTTTTTCCTTGATGTTAACAATTCCACAGACACCTCTGAAGCCTGTGTTGTGTAGGGTTTTACCTATAATTGTTTTCTATGTATTTAATGGTTTCAGGTCTCAAGTTTTTTATCCATTCTGAATTGATTTTTGTGTATGGTATAAAATAAGAGTCAAATTTCATTCTCTTGCACATGACTATATATTTTCCTCAACTTATAGAAGGAACTATATAGATTTATTAAAGAGTTTTATTGACTTCTTTGTTGTAAATTTATTAACTACATATTCATGGATTTATTTCTGACTTTCTAGTCTGTTCGATCAATCTATATATTTGTTTTTATGCCAATGCCACACTATTTTGATTAGCACTGCTTTGAAATATAATTCAAAATCAAGAAACATGAGATCTCCAATTTTGTTGTTTTCAAGATCACTTTGGCTATTTGAGGTCAATTGTGATTCCATACAAAATTTGAATTACTTTTCTCATTTCTGAAATAAATGCTTTGAATTTTGATAGGGATTGCATTAATCTGTAGATTTCTTTAGGTAACATAGACATTTCAAAAACATTAATTTTTCTAATATTGAGCATGTAATATCTTTCTATTTACTCAGTTTGTTCAGAGTTTCTAAATATGAGTCAGTATTGTATGAATTTCCCTTGTATATCTGCCTTTGCTACATCCCTTAACATTTTGTTAGGCTGTGTTTCTATTTTCATTCATCTTACTATCCATTCAGATTTTTTTAATTCTCAATTGACCTTTTGGTCGTTTGGGATCACTGTTTAGTTTCCACATATTGGTAAATTTTCCAATTCCTTCTTGTTTTTAACTCCTAGTTTTATACCATTATGACTTGAAAAGATGATGGGTGGACAATCAATCTTCTTAAGCTTATTAAGATTCTTTTTGGGAGCCTCTCTGGTGGTGCAAGGGGTTAAAGCACAGTACTATAAAGCTATACACAGCCACTGCATCTTGAGTTTGATCCCTGGCCAGGGAGGTGACCTAGATGGCACCTGATTTTCCTGCTGTTCCCCTCTGCAGTGCATTTCAGAAGATCCTTGGATCCTGTTTCTCCTGCCATTGTCACATAATCAGTCATGCTTGTTCATTATTACTAAATCAATATTAAGAGGGCTATTCATTGGACAGTATTGTCTTGCCTTGCAAACCTGCTCCAAACACATTTCTCAGCATGTCCCCAAGGATGTGCTGGCATATCCTCAACCACGAGAGTATTTGTTTTTCCTATTTGGTGCAAAGCCACAGAGCCCATTTTATGTTGATAGTTCTCAGAATTTGAAGAAGGAAGTTCTCGTTTGTTCTAACTCTGAGAGTGGTCAATGTTGAGATTTCCTACATAATCCACCCCCTCTTAATATGATTGAACCTATCAGAAGATCAAAACACAGAATTTATGATATTCATAACTGGACATAGGCAATTTTGGTATTTTTTAAAAATACCAAATTCCCTCCCTGGTGATGCAGCAATTTAAAGCACAACACTAGGAAGCTAAAGCCACATCAGCGTGAGTTCGATCCCTCTGGTACTTCTGGTCTGTACCCCAGTTCTGTATGCATAAATAAATAAATCTTAAAATATATATATTAATCTTAAAAAATATTTAAAAAAGATTTATGTATACAGAACTGGGGTACAGGCCAGAGGTGCAGGGGCGGTGAGAGGCTTCAGCTGAGACAGTGGGGAGCAGAACAGGCAGATCGACAAAGTACACTGCTGAGGGAAGCAGCAGGCAGGTCAGGAAGGTCTGCAGTGCCATGTGGGTTGCCTCCGACGGGGGTGGTGAGTGAACTCAGGCTGAAGTGGTTTTAGCTTCTTAGTGCTGTGCTTTAACCCGCTGCGCCACCAGGGAGGGCCCCGGGGTTTTTTTGTTTGTTTTTGTTTTGTTTTTTAAAGAGCAAAGTTAAGCCTAATAGCTCAAAGCCTATGGCAATTTTTGAAAATTATTTATTTACATATACTTTACATCATTATTCACTTTGTTTTATATTTGCTTTATTTTCTCAGGTGTAGTTCCCATAGAATTTCCACCTCAATTCACTCTTGCATCATCACCATAATCCCTTGTGCTCTTCCCACTCTCATTTTTTTTTAAAGATTTATTTATTTATTCATACAGAACTGGGGTACAGGCCAGAGATGCGGAGGGTGAGAGGATTCACCAGAGACAGAGTGGGGAGCAGAACAGACAGATCTACAAAGTACACCGCTGAGGGGAGCGGTGGGCGGGTCAGGAGAGGTCTGCCTCCCCATGTGGATCTCCTCCAGGGCAGGCGGGAATCGAACTCATGAGGAAGTGGCTTAAAATTCTTAGTGCTGGGCTTTAACCCGCTGTGCCACCAGGGAGGGCCCGTACTCTCATTTTGATCCCTTTTCTTACCCCCTCCTGCAGAATGTCTCTGACTTATAGCTGTCTGTTTATTTTTGTTTTATTTTGTTGTGTTTTTAATTGTCTTTTCCTGATCTCTTGTCCCCCCCTCCCCATATTCCTCCTATAAGTGAAACCATCATATATTTTTCTTTTTCCTTCTGACTTACTTCACTGAGTATAGTCACTTCTAGCTTCATCCATGTTGCTTCAAAGGGCATTAGTTTATTTGACTGCTGAATAGTATTCTGTTATGTTTATATACCACATCTTCTTGATCCAGTCATCTAGTTTTTGGTATTTGTGTTGCTTCCAACACTTACCTATTGTAAATAGTGCTGAAATAAGCACAGGCATGCAAGTATCCTTTTGAGTTAATGTTTTTGTGTCTTTTGGGTAGATTCTTAGGAGTGGAATTGCTGGTTCATATGGTAGCTACATTTTTAATAGTCTGAGGACCCTTCATATAGCTTTCCATAGTGGTTGGATCAGTTTGCATTCCCACCAGCAGTATAAAAGAGTTCCTTCTTCACCACATTCTTGCCAACATTTGTTGTTGCTAGTTTTTTTTTTAATTAACGTGCCATTTTTACTGATAATATGGTGATATCTCATTGTGATTTCTGAATTGCATTTCTCTGATTATGAAGGATGTTGAACACTTTTTCATATGCCTGTTGGCCATCTGCATTTCCTCTTTGGAGCAGTGTCTTTTAAATTCTTCTGATGGGCTTTAAGATCTTAATTTTAACTGTGGTTATCATCTTTTTTATTTATGACTAACTTGTACCTTTTTTCTCTTTTTATAAATTGATAGGTCATAAAAGTACAATAATATTACTACTTAATTCTAAGGAATATAATGTGGCAAAACTGATGTGATGACACTTCTGAGTTATAAAAGGAAAATGACATATTTTGGGTGCTTTATTTTATGCTTTCTCTTGAATGTCTTCCTCTGGGGTAAACAAACTACTATGCCGTAAAGCAACTCCATAGAAAGGACATATAGCAAAGAATTGAGTTTCATTAAAAGCCATTTGAGAGAACTTTGAAGTTGATTTTCTGACTCCTAACAACTGCCACATGACATTTGAAGGTAGGTGCTTTTTCAGTCAAACCTTGAGATAACTTCAGCCATGGATGACTTCTCAGTTGTAATCAAATGGAAGACTGTGACCAGACTCAGTAAAACAGCAATTCATATACTCACAAGATAAAAAGATATTTATTAAAGTTAAAATAGTACATTAACAAAACCTTATCTGATACATTCTTCTGGATGTAATGATCACTTAAATCATCAGAGATACTGGTTCCACTGAGTTGCTCCATAGCATAGCTGTGTAAATCAAAGGCTAAGAGAGTGGTTGAAGTCAAGGTATGGATCACTGGACATTTTCTTCTGGAAAGACGTAGAGTGAATCAGTGAGGACTTCAATAAGGAAACTGAAATGAAACCTTACCCTTTGGGGAAAGAGACTGTCATTCCTGGACCAAAGACCTCCAGTCAAAAGGAAATGTAGTAGGTTATAAAAATGATTCAAAAAACTAGCCTTAGAAATCTCCTCATCTTTTCTCTTGGACATGATTTAAAGGCTAGCGATTTATTTGACAATGGGACAATGCATACATTCAAGTCCCAACTAACTCTTAGATTTTGAGCCATTCTTAACACAAGTTCATTTGGTCTCTCCTGTCTGAAAAATGATGCAGTATCAGTATCACCAAATTGAGTGACATGGCTACAGATATGAGTTAATGAATAATGGTCTTCTTGTTTGAGATGAGGAGTGCCTGACTGCCACCTTCTTTGTTGGTTGTAGGAAATAGGGATCAAAATAAGGAAGAAATAGTGGGAGATAAAGACTCCATTCCAGGTAGTAATTATTTCAGGCTTCATATTATAAATGGTTTTGGGTTTTCAGAGATGAAACAAGTCTCTCCAGCACAAAGCAATAGAAGATCACAATCCCAGGGCCTGGCTGGTTTTATCAATCTGGCAGTTTAGAGTCAGTGCAAAAGACATCCCCAAGACCTGAGAAAAGATGTGGAAAAATGTGAGATCTTCATAAGAGGAGCAACCTGTCCCACCAGTTCTGTGATGGACACCAAAGAAAAAGTGTCTATCACACTGAGACCAACTTTCCTACCACTACTTCCAGTTATCAGAAATCTCTTCTTTATCTTTAGAGTGGCAATGGGGGTGATACTGACAAGATAACAAGTATTGGGACATCTTTTGACTCAAGTATAAAAGTCTGCTCTTGGTATGTTTGTATGAGTCATTTTTATCCATCCTGTAGCTAGGCCTCATTGGCTTCCAGGCAGAACAGAATTGTTTCTCTTTGAGCTTGTGATTATGTCTTAACTAATCTGTTATATACTCAAAGCACTTGGGTATAGAAGTAATAGGAATATAATGTAATAAGAACTAATACAAGACTTTACTCCTGAGATTAAGCAGACTACATTTTCATCATGGACTTTTTCTTGGCATAAAAGGCCAATTTTTCAAATGGTCTGTTTTATTTGTCATAAGTTTTCCCAGCTTAGTGAGGGACCAAATGTTCTACTTGGTGGCTTTAAATTGATAGTGAACACTAATCTCTTAAGTATAACTTGATGAGATTGTACAAAATATTTTATGAATGTTTTAAATTAAATAGATAATAAAGTAATTTGATACTTGACCAGAAGTGCTCATACTTATTGAGCACATACTATGTATTTGTTTGTTCTAAAACTATACATAACTCAATCCTCATGATAGTACTGTGGTTAAACTCTTACCTGGATCACACATACACAGATGGTGATGATCCCAATATATAGGAAATTGGAATGAAACCATGTTTCTGCTTTCAGATAGCAACCCTAGAAAAAAATTACAAACAAATATAACACTGAATTATTGTTCAACTTTATTAGGAAACTTATTGAAACCATAGCTTGTATTGTTTTGTTTTTTCCTAAAGCTTTGAGACATGGGCCTGGATTAATTTTTATATTTTATATGGATGAAAAAACAGATTTAAGGTAGAGAATATTCAATTAGCAACTTATATAATGTTGTTACTTAGTGTAAAAGTCCTAGATCCATATACACATAGTTAAACTAGTTCTCAAGATGGATGTATACAACAGATGTCCATATATTATTTGAACACTCATTGCTGACCTGGGCTTAATGAACAGGAATATAGTATATATAGTCCTAGGATATACATTTCATATTAAACAACCAGTGTCCATCAGTTTTCTACCTAGCTCAAGGGAATTGTTGAGCTGGGTACCCTAGTTTTTCCTTTCAGACCTAAAAAATTCTGGAGATTTCAAGAAAACTCAAGAATGGGCTATATAAAGTAAGGAGAGGACCTTAGAGACTTGCTCTCATTAGTTGATTTTGGTTTATTCTCTGGGTCTACTCTAGAGATTCAAATTATCCATGCTCTAGGCCTCATTGGTTTCTAGGCAGAGCAAAATTGTTTCTCTTTGAGCTTTGTGATTATGTTTTAACTAATCTGTGATATATTTAAAGCACTTGGGTATAAAAGTAATAGAAATATAATGTAATAAAGAAAGAGTACAAAACTTAACTCCTGAGATTAAGCAGACTACATTTGTAGTCTGGTACATTTGGGTAGTTTGTTTCAGTAGTTATACCAGGTCTCTCCTAACTCCTCACTGCTTCACTTATGAGTCATTAAGTCATCTCTTAACTAAGAGGGAAGAAAAACAGAGCACCTCTAAGTCAACCTTAGAAATTTTGCTCTTAAAAGAAATCAACTTGTTCAAGAAACGGAGAGTAATAATCCTATGCCACTATCACATTAACTTCTCCCCAACAGTGTAATAGTTTAGATTCAGCAATCAGTATTGATATTAGTTTTGCAACACAAGATTATCAATGGCATCTATAGTCTAGATGAACTTGCTCCTATTTTTATATCCCTAATCTGTCTACTTACCTGCATTGTCTCTCTGATCTCTATTTTATTCAATATTCCATGTTTTGGGTTGGGGGGACTGGGTTCTGTATGATTACAGTTTCTAGGTAATTAGAAGTCTAACTAAAGAGGCCAATGGCAGGAAAGTTATAACAAAGTTACCTCAACTTGTAGATCTGAGGGACAAGATGGTGGTGGTCTCATATTCCAATCACTTGTGCCATTCACACCACAACATTGCAGCTAAAAGTCAAATACCAAAAAAAAAATAATAATAATAAAAATAAAAATAATACACATATATGTGATGATTAGAAAGTCTACAGAAAGATTATGGGTGTGAAAGAAAAAGGTGGGCCCTTTACATCTGACTCTATGATAGAAAACCCAGAATGAGCCCCTTATAACAAAAAAAACCCTCAAATTCTTTTGTACTATTTTATTCACATAAGACTCCTTAGAGTTGGCAGTAAATGTTTGATTTTTTTCACATTTTACAGTTCAACCATTAAGTATCTATGGGACTTTTAATAGAAAAACCAGGTTAAAAACACCTAGACCTGGCCCTCCCTGGTGGCGCAGTGGGTTAAAGCACAGCACTGAGAATCTAAAGCCGCTTCTGCATGAGTTCGATCCCCGCCTGCCCCAGAGGTGACCACATGGCGTGGCAGACCTCTCCTGGCCCGCCCGCTGCTCCCCTCAGCAGTGTACTTCGTCGATCTGCCTGTTCTGCTCCCCACTCTGTCTCTGGTGAATCCTCTCACCCTCCGCATCTCTGGCCTGTACCCCGGTTCTGTATAAATAAATAAATCTTAAAAAAACAAAACAAAACACCTAGACCTATTTATTATCCATCCTTAAGAGAAATCAGATTTTGTGTGTTTTGTATTTCATCATATTTATATGATGTAATGATTTATATTTAATTTAAATACAAATAAAATATAAACAAAACTAAATATAATGCTTTATATTTGTATGATCCAACAGGAAATATCAACTACCTTAATATCATCACAAGATAGAATCTGCATCTAGTCTCCAATTTTTGGGGGGGACTTATGGAACACAGACACCATGATACTAAAATAACTTGGGAAAGCAAATAGCTGTATCTAGAAAGTGGGAAACTCTATAGAACAAATGACAGTTTCTTTCCATAATAAGTAGCATGAACAAAAAGAGGTATTATTGTAGATACAAAGAAATACCATCCAAGTATAAAATCTGGACTTTGCGTCTAAATTTGGAGAAACTAATTAAAACAAGTTTTGTTCCTCTCACCACCTCTGTGCCTCTCCCAGTTCTGTATACATAAATAAATAAATATTTAAAAAACTAAAAAACAAGACAAGTTTTGTGAGTTAATAGGGAAACTTTATCATAGATCATTTACTAATAACAGTAAGGAATTATTGTAAAATAAGAATATTAAAAAGAAACTATCTTACATGGAGATTAAACAACATGCTAACCAAAGAAGAAATCACAAGGGGAATTCAGTGTTTTTGAAGGAGATAAAAATTAAAGTACATCTCATTAATGTTGTGGGTTGTAGCAAAAGCAGTACTTAGAGGGAAATTTATAGCAGTGAGTACAAATATTAGAAAAGAAGAAAGATCTAAAATCAATAATCTAAGTGTCCAGAAAAAGTAAGAGCAAATTAAATCCAAAATAAATAGAAGGAAAAAAACAAGAACTAAAGCATAAATCAATGAAAATTAAAAGCAGGAAATTAATAGAGAAAGTCAATGAAACTAAAAATTGGTTCATTGAAAAGATCCATAAAAATCAACCTAAGAAAGAAAAGACTACACATTAATAATATCAGAAATAAAAGCAGAGACATCACTACAGATCTCACAAAAATTGAAAGGTTAATAAAAAATATTATGAACAACTATATACCCACATTTTTGATAACCTAGATGTAATGGATCAATTTCTTGAAAGATACCATATGCCAAAACTCACACAAGAAGAAACAAATGATTTGAAGATATTTATATCCACTAAAGAAACATAATCAACAATAAATAACCTTCCAAAATAGAAAGCACAGGCCCAGATGGGTTCACTGAGCATTTAGGTCTACTGAGCATTTGAGTAAGAAATTATATTCATTATCCACAGTCTCAGAGAATAGAAGCCAAGGTAATATTTCTTAACTCATTCTATAAAGCCAGAATTACTTCAATACCCAACCCAGCCAAAGAGATTACCAAAAAATTACAGATCATTCTCTCATTAATATAAATACAAAATCCTCAACTGAACATTAACAAATTGAATCCAAATAAGTATAAAAAAATTCTAATTTATGGCCAAGTGGGATTTATCACAGGTATGTGAGATTGGTTCAACATTTGAAAATCAATTCATGTGATTTATGACCAAATTTTAAAAAGAAAAATAACATGATCAATATATGCAAAAATTATTTAACAAAATTCAGCACTCAGTATGGTATATGTAGGTCTTCCTTACATTTTAGGAGGTCTTCAATAATGACTCTAGCTGGATTGGTAAAGAACAAAAGAAAGAAAGTAGAAGACATTATATTCACCTGACGGATGCTTGTGCTCTCCTGTCTGTGACAGCCAAAAAATCCCTTCTAGAGCTCAGGACTAAAGGAGATCAGATTCAGAAGCTTGCAGGAAAGAAAGTCCCTCTTCACACGCAGGGACTGAGATTGGAAATGAAGTCTAGACTGAGTGAGGAACATTCCTTTTGTACTCACAAATGTCTGGATGGAGTCCCATGCTGCCTTGGTCTTGTTATCCTTTTCATAACGCTGGAAGCTGTCATTCAGTCCCTGATACACGTAATTACCCAGCTGGGAAGGGCACATTCCAGCAAAGAAGACATTGTCAAAAGCAGGTGAGTATGAGGAATAAGAAATGTCTAGTATAGTCTACTATTAGCATTCTCACTGGTGCTTCTCTTCCAAATGGTTTCTTTAGAGCTAAATAGGGGAAGGAAGGGCGTTTATATACCGGAAAAAGGGAGGTAACATTGAAGGAAATACACAGTAGACTCGTGCTGTCAGAACTCTGGGCTTACAAAGGAGGAAAGGGAAAATTAAATCACGAGCTTTACTTAGGCAGTTAAACAGACTTTGTCTGCTGTTCTTCTTTCACCCTTCAAGGCACCACTCAAATACAATTTCTTTCCTGAAATGTTTTTCTCTCCTCAGTTACAATGAATTGCTGTCTTTATTTCACCCTTTCATGTTGCTGCTTCTCTGCTCTGGGACTTACTCTGTGTCACTGTCTTCTCTGCTCCACACTCCCATTCTCAGCAATATAACAATGCAGTTTGTTCTTTATAACTTACCTGCTTTTCAAACAGGAAGAGCAGGATGGCTAATGTCACTTCAGCAAGGAGGATAATCAACAGCAGGGCAAAGAACTGAGACAAAGTAGAGACATGCTCACAACACTGACGCCAGGTCTTCTCCCACTCTCCAACACCCTCTCTGTTCTGGGGCACTTCGGTATTCTCCCACAGGCCCTGCAACTCCTACTCGATCTTTATAAGCCACTTTTTTTTTTTTTTAGGAAGAATAGGTGTTATTTTCCTACAACTAGACGCTAAGACAGGTCAACTGTTTTCTAACAAGTTTGTTCTCTCTCTTCCCATGGTGCCTATTGAGTTCATATCTACATAGATGCAGATATATACAGATAAATAGGTATAATGATATTTGTTTAATTAATAGAGAAATTTTGGTATCATCCTACCAAAAACAGTTGAACAAGAGGCCAACAAACAAAACCATGTGTCTTCAGAGTTTAGGGAGTAGCTCTTTTTGCAACATCACGGCTAGTGGGGAATAAAGAACCAGCTGTGATGGAGGTTGAGAGGATCTTTGTACGAATAGGGAGAAGGGAGCTTCTAATCATGGTTGCAACTCATTTATAGATCCAACTTTAGATCTTTTTACACTTATCACACACAATAGAGAACCTGTTTTCACTTAGTTCCTCTTGTTGATGTTATACCCCCACTGATTAAATTTGGCTGATCTAAAATTTCCCCATGTCCATTATCTTGCATCTTGTGCTACTATAATAGGAAAAATCTGGGACACGGACTTTTTTATTCTTTCTCTTAGCTCTAGTTTTAAGAGTTGACCTAGAAGGGAACAAAAGTTAAGCAAACAACTTAAGGAACAACCCAGGGGATTGGGAGCCCATACTTAGAGATGAAGTGACTCTGCTATACCGTGCTCCACTCTGGGCACATTAAGGAAATGAGGGATTCTCCTTGCATGGAGCTTACCTGCCAAAACTAAGCCTAAGGTAATCCTCCAGATAGTTAACTAGTAGGAAACAGTGAAAATTTCCAGCCTTTCTCATTTAGACCTCAGTGGCTGTAGTCACCTACGTTGAGTCACTCATACTATGGAGTATCTTGTTTATAGGGAACATTCTGTGCCACTTAATGAAATTCAAACAATTCAGAAGAACCCTACAACTGGAGTCTCCATCAACCTAAAGTTGGTGACATTAGGTCAAATCCTTAAAACACATATGAGTATGTAGAGAACTTAGGCAGATGGCTTACATTTGATTTCAACCAGATGTGAAGAAATAAAATCCTCTATGAAGGAAAATTATGATGACTAAGGACATCATTAACAATTTAAGAAGAATGCCAGGGAGGATAGCAATGCCTCTTACCTATCCCTAGGGTCCGATCAGAAACGAAATGCTTGCAGACTTGGATCACCTGAGGTACCAGTCTATATTCCCATGAAGTCCCTCCAGCCACAGGTGAGCTACTGAGAAACATCTTGCCTGGCACTTAAGGTTTCACATCTGCCCGCCCCCCAAGCACACGTAAGGCACCCCTTCTGCCACTGAGACTCACCGACATAAGCAGACATTTGTTCTCCTTGATGGAGCCCATGCAGCCGAGGAAGGCGACCACCATGATAATGGAGCCCACGATGATGAGCACATTGCCCAATGTGAGAGAGGGGTGGTTATGGAAGAGCACTCCAAAGTTGTTATGGACCAGAAGGTAGATCCCAAAGCTCAATATGCAGCAGCCACATAACTGAAAGGAAGAATTCCACAACATTCTGAGATAAAGAATGTTCTTGATTTTCTCACTTGTTTGAGATCATAATTATTACTGTAAGCCACTGGTTCTATCAATGCCTTCTTAAACAATCTCTTCACCCAATTTTCTCCATACCCTAGAAGAGGGCCTCCTCCCATAATGTCTCACTCATCCTCTCCTACCTATAGCAGATACCAAAGGGAGTTTACTCCTGTAAGAAGTAGCGTATCTTCATGCTTAAGACCCCCCCAACTCCTGTTTCTTCAACTATTTATACATGGCATTCTTCAAAAATCAAACTATGTAAAAGAAATACACTGGGAAAGAGATACTAGTTCAAGAAGTTCGTATTGCTAGGATTAAAGCTAGGACAGGCAATATTTTAAGAATCTTCTCCTAGACACACAACAACCAACCCATCCTGTATTTAAAATTGAATGACTGAATTTGGCACAGTGAAACCTCACCAGAAAGCGTGACTTCCTTTTCAGTCAACTATTCGCCCAGCAGGGCAGTAAGGTGAGAAAAAAATGGAACTCCACGCACAAAATGTGCAGTCAGATTTCTTCACACTAGATGGCAGCAGTGAGCAGTCGTAGCCTAAACCATCCAGTGAGGTGGAAAATACAGCATCCCCCAAACGAGCTGCGTTTTAATTTTGCAGGCTTATTCTGGAGCTGGACGGGGATTGTGGAGAAGCTGTTACTATGTATTTAGGTCAGGTATGCTGCACATGACCTGGGCACAAGTTGCTTGCCACACCTCGCTTCTCAGCGAGAGAGAGAAGTGGAGGAGAGCTGAAAGGAGGGGAGCTCAGCTGTGCTCAGAACACACTTACCCAGAAAAGAAAGTTGAAAAAAAACAGGACATACTTCAGTAATTTCAAGATACTCATGCCCATATTGGAATATTCTTGCTCTAAAATGCAGAAGGAAAAAGAGAAGTAAGTGACCTGGTTCTGCAAGGTAGTGCCCGAGAGCGCGGGGGGGGAGGGGGGGGCAAGTCTTCAGGGTTCGAGAATTTGTAGCACCCCCTTGTGTTGATACGTGCCCATCCTCCGGAGCGTTTTCCTGAATGCCCTGGTCGCTTGGTCTCTGAGCTGACAGAGCAGCTGGCTCATCTTAGACACTCATTTTTGCTTCAATTCAGGAAACCACGAGTACGTAACACTGAACGTGACATTGTTGAAAGCAACAGACCCACTTTAGAAGAGGGTGGGTCTCGGTGACACGCAGCTGACCAGCAACGCACAGATGTGGATGCGCCCCTGGGTAAGAAGGCAGCCGTGGGGTTGTGGGTGGGGGAGACAGACCCATCAGTCAACTGTTAGGAAGGCCCGTGTCTCCATCAGTCCGTTTCTTAAATTCCCCAGTTCGTACACACATACTACATTTGGTCCATAAATGTCTCCATATGAAAGGAGGGAGAACACACCTATGCCTCCTCCCGTATTTTTTTTTTTAAAGATTTATTTATTTATGCATACAGAACTCAAGGGTACAGGCCAGAGGTGAAGGGGCGGCGAGAGGCTTCACCAGAGACAGAGTAGAGAGCAGAACAGGCAGATCGACGAAGTACACTGCTGAGGGGAGCAGCGGGCGGGTCAGGA